CTCAGTCACTAGCACATCCCCCACTCCCCCCGTTGACAATTTACTAGTGGTACCGAAGTGGGCCGGTCGAGAGTCCCGGGCTGATTTTTAGTCCCAGTCCACCACTGGCTACATGACCGTATGATCGCCCATATTGACGCACCTAATTCCTAAACTTCTAACAGATACAACATAAACCGATCCTTCAGCCTCATATGAGCTCTCAAACACGTTCAAAATTAAACTGTCATCGCTGTCTGAGCTTGCTGCTGTGTGCCCCATCGTGCGTTTACAGTATGCAGATGCTGGGATCCTGAACGGTGCAGCTGGAACGCTGTGCCCGCAATGACGTCACACATAATTTGGCGGGACTTGAAGAATCCCCGAGAAGATCTAGAAAATGGTCAACATTGAAGGGCAGATTCATGGTTATCAAAGTACAAATAACCAAAATCAGTTCAGTAACGGTTTTCAAGGGGACAATATTTACTCAAATTGATGGGTTTGGATGATGGGGGAAACTCGTGTCACAGGCTCTTTAAAGGGGCAGTGGCGGCCCAGCCACTTGAAGAAATGATCTGACAGCTAATCCAGAAAACAGTAGCGCCGGCATTAGCATCAACCACATCTACATCGTTCAATTTATCATAGCAATAAAAAGGGTTGCAATGAAAAAATGTCTTCTTATTAATTGGATTGACTTGCCCATGGCAAGCCCAATCTGCAAGTCCAGTGTGAAGAAAAGCATGTAAGACTGTGAAAATGAAACCTTCCAGGTTTTAAGTGCGAAATAGCATGATTATTATTCACACATTTCTTAGTGAGACAAGACACATTTGGCAAGTCAAATCCAGACATGATCACACATGTTGTTTATCTTTGTGTTATTTATTTATTATATTGTGTCTTGTTGAAAATCCAAAATGTAGTTGGCATATTTTAGTTTTGCATTTGCCACTGAATTTATTTTCTTAGTAGGCTATCTTTGTTTTTGCTAATGCACAACAGTTTAGTATTAGCATATGTGAAGCAGCAAACAGGTCTTAATGTCAGTACGTCATGTTCAAAGTGCAGGAATTGTTCCTTTATAGATATTTTATGTTTTAAGACATTTCATAATTTGTGTTCATCATGGATTATTTTCCCTCTCTGCCAGGCGACAATGGAGCCTTGAAACTAACAGTGGCCGGTGGAGCTGATGAAGGAGTGTTCTTCATAAACAGAGCTGGTAGTTTGTGCCTGAAAACAGAGTTAGACAGAGAAAGACAGCCCTTCTACAATCTGACTGTGACAGCCAATGACTGTGTCCAGCCTGTGTCTTTACAGTTCACCACCACAGCAAATGTTATTGTGGTGGTTGGTGATATCAATGACAATGCTCCATCGTTTGTGTCAGCCAAAAGAATCAGCATACCAGAGGACACTGCACTTCATTCTGTTATAATGACTCTGCATGCTGAGGATAAAGACACCGGATCAAATGGGGAAGTTTTATATTATTTAAACAACACTTCCAGTGGCATGTTTAGCATCGATAACAAGAGTGGAAAAATATACCTGGAGGAGGCATTGGACAGAGAACAAGTAGATACAATGACTATTACTGTTACAGTAACTGATAAAGGGTCACCCAGGATGGCTACCACAGGGAACATAACGGTGCACGTAGAAGATGTTAATGACCATGACCCCAAGTTCTCTCAAAGCACCTTCAGCCTGACAGTCAGAGAGGACGCCCCGAGAGGAACCAGCCTGTTTCAGGTTCAGGCTCTCGATCGGGACATTGGAACAAATGGACAAGTGCGGTACATATTGACTCAGATGAGTCCCTTTGTTGTGGACTCTGTTCGAGGTGTCATCACAGTCATGGAAAAACTGGACAGGGAGAGGAATTCAAACTACACCCTGATCATAACAGCTGTAGATCGGGGTGATATATACAGATCTTCTACTGCTGCTATCAGTCTCACAGTGTTGGATGTCAACGACTTTGCACCTATCTTTACTCCTCAAACACTAACCTTACATGTAATGGAGAATGAGGAGGAACCCTCTCAGCTTACACATCAGGTGCTCTTGTTAACTAAACACTTCATTAAATGTTGACTACATAATGTGTTGATGCTAACTTCTGGTTGTCATTTTTTTTATCTAGATCTCAGCATTGGATGAAGATTTAGGTATCAACAGCCTGCTTACCTATTTTATGCATACAGGAAATAGTGACGGTTTGTTCTCTGTTATTCCCAATGGCACGTTTCAAATTTTACACAGCCTGGACAGAGAGAAGGAACCCTTATACTCCGTTACCATCATTGCTGTTGATTCAGGTGATTAAGGCCAACGATCTGATCAACTTTATCAGATGTTTGTTCTGTCAGTTTCACTTCAAACTGTGTGACAAATCTTTATTTACTTTGTCATTTGAAGGATTGCCACCTCTAACAGGAACACTAACTCTACACGTCATAGTGGATGATGTCAATGATAACAGTCCAGAGTTTTCGGAGGAAGTCTACAACACCATAGTGTCCGAGGACTGCTCCACAGGCACCGTGTTTGCCATGATAACAGCATCAGACATTGATGAAGGTCTCAATGGGGAAATAAGGTGAAATGTCAAATTTGTCTCTCAAATTTAGACAGCAATGTTGATAAGTAATGTGTATACTAGTGAACATACTTAGGTATTGAATCTGAAGTTACCTACTGTAACTACAGCTTCTATGAGTATTGGCGAAGCCCTCTAAGGCTACGCTATTGGGTAATCCCCTGCGCACCCGCGCAGCACTGAAACACTTGTAGTCCACGCCCACCCGCAAGGTGGGCCCCACCCTCGGGCTCCCTTCCGGTATAAATAGGAAGGAGGCCCGACAATCTGCTCCCATACAAAATAACTTTTCTTCAGCTATTCGTGGAGCCAGTGGGGCCCAGCACTTAGAGGGCTTCGCTAATACTCATAGAAGCTGGAGTTACAGTAGGTAACTTCAGTTCTATTTCGTATATGGCTTCGCCCTCTAAGGCTATCGCTATTGGGTTAAGGGCGAAGCATGATGTAGTCTGCGCCCCACTGGGTCCGCCCGGTACTAGAAGCACAAACACACCTGCTCAGATAATAACCCATGCCTATTGCGCCATGCGTAATGGCGCATCGCCGTCCCTGGAATATAGCATAACAGGAATATTTTCCATGAGGGGACGAAGGCTGGGAACAATACATACCTGCCGCTGTGAAAAAGTAGAGACGAAGTTCATACTTTGCCCAGTGACAAAAAGAGGGGGAACAGCAGCTCTCTGCGTGCAGACAGGCAGGAGAGCGCACGGCTGGATCCCTGACGTCACTCACTCTGACAAGACACTCCGTACAGGGTGTGTCAGAGAGGAATGGGAGACATCCCTCAAATACAATTGAATAAATGAACAGGGGGAAGACCAAGATGCAGCAGTGCAAATGTCTTCCACTGACATTCCTCCGTGCAAAGCCGTGGAGGAGGACATTCCTCTGGTGGAGTGCGCATTCTCCGGGGGATCCACCCCATGAGGAGACATATGCCTGTGACACAGCTTCACACAGCCAGTGTGACAGCCGTTGTGCAGACAGAGGCTGCCCGATCGAGCGCTCTCTATAATGCACAAACAGGCGCTGAGAATGGCGCAAGGCAGCCGTGCGCGCCACTAGCAGGACAGCGCGCGCACAGGACAGAGGAGATGAGACGCGGCTTCTTCCTCCGACCTGTGAGGAGGGGGAAAGAAGCCATCCAAGGTGATCACTCTCGACTCTAACGACCTTTGGCATAAAAGCCGGGTTAGGGCGTAAAACAGCTGAACTGCCATCTCCTTGGATCCGGAGGCATGACGGAGCCACAGAGAGAGCAGACAAATCACTCACCCTTTTCGCTGATAGAGCCAAAAGTAATACTACTTTGGCTGACAACAGTTTAAGGGGAACCTGGTCTAAAGGTTCAAATAGGGGCTTTGCTTAGTAACACCAAAGCCAAATCCCACTGAGGCGCCAGTGCGTGTGACACAGGTCTGAGTCTCCGTGCTCCTCGCATAACACAGCTGCTGCACTCTGTGAGCCCCTCTGTTCAATTCGCCGGGAATATACATTGCTCTGATGAGAGCAACGTGTGTGCGCGCCCAGAACAGCAGCCGCCTGGCTGCGTTCAGAAGCTGCGCAGATCGTACTCCTCCCTGGCGATTGAGGTAGGCTGCTTCCATAGCCGTGGCCTGTTGTCTGTGCGAATCAACACATTGATTGTACAGCAACGGGGTGACTCCCCCGTTTTTTCCCGAGATTTAGAAAAAATCGCCAACTACCGCACCGAGCAGTGAATCTGCTGGGTAATCCGTGTAGTGTCTCTCGAGAGGGGGGTCCGTCAAAGGTACCCTATGTTTCTGTTGTGAGGCACAGTAGGTCCTCCTTGTCACA